TTTTTAATAATTAAAATTTATCATATTTTTTAAATAAATAAAATAATTATTTTTAATAAATATAAATAAATTGTAATTATAAAAAGTAAAAAGATAAATGATTAAGATTTTATGTGAATATGATAATAAGGTTAAGGATAAATAGATCTCTATATATACAATAACGATTCACTTACATATCAATCTTATGCATTACATTTATATAAAATTTTAGTCATTCATCTTTTTATTTTTAATAGTTAACATTTATTCACATTTAGTAAATATAATTATTTTTTATCTAAATATAAAAAGTTTTAATAAATCTTAATCATTAAAAGTTAAGAGATGAATGATTTTAATCATTAAAAGTAAAGAGATGAATGATTAATACATAAGAGAGACTACTTACACACAAATTTTATATACTACACTTATATAAAAGCTTAATAATTCATTTTTCTACTTTCAATAATTTAGATTTATCACGACTTTTTAGAATTAATCTTTAATAAATATAAATAAATCTCAACTATTAAAAGTAAATAGATGAATAATTGATATTTTTTATAAATACAATGTGTAAAACTTGCTGTGTAAATGGATCCCCATTTATATATAGGAGAGATCCACTTACACATGAATCAAGTATACAAAATTTTAATTATTTATTTTTTTATTTTCAATGGTTGAGATTTATCTTTTTTTAGATAAAAATAATAATTATCTTTAATAAATATGACTAAATTTTAGTTATTGAAAGTAAAAAGATGAATAGTTAAGATTTTGTAATGGATTTTTTTATCATATATATATATATATGTGTGTGTGTGTAGAGTAGATTGTTCTCTTAAAATTTTTTTGAAAAATATGTCTAAAAATGTATTTTTAAATTAATATTTTTAAAAATTAATTCTTAAATTAAAAATTCTATTTATATAGATCATGTATATTAATCTCTATATTGATTTAATACTTATAATCTTTAATTAAAAAACCTCTATATCAATTTTTATATTAATTTAATATTTATAATCTTTTAATAAAAAAATTTATTTATTGATATATATTTAATAATAT